TGTTCCTGTGTCCGGTTGTGGAGTGGCGCTTTGCTGCCGTTTTGTGCCTGGGGATTGCGTGGGGTTTTTGTCCCTGCCTGATTGTCCACCCCTGGTTGTTCTCCTGGTTTTTTTTTTTTTTTTTTTTTGTGCTTCTGCTCTTTCTTCTGCCTCTTCTGCAGCAGGAATGTTCTGCGTGTGTTCTTAGGCGTTGGTCAGCCTGTGTCCTGTGATGTGCTTCTTTGTCTCGGTCTGTTGCAGTTGTTCGTGCCCCTTGGTTCGGGTCCTGTTCTGGCGGCGACCCTTCCGCCTTCTTTGGTTTTCCTAGCTTGCCCTGCCGGTTGTTGTTGTTTTTATTTTTTTTGGGGGGGTTCTTGCGATGTCTCGCGTCGGACCCGTCGTTTCTGAACTCCTGGCGGGCTTGCATGCTTCGGAGTTTTTCTGTTCGGCAGACGTTCCATCTCCTTGTGCCGCCTGGGTTTCGGTGGTCGCGCCCGAGATCTTCTCGCGGCTCCGCCTTTTTCCTGGGCTCGGGGGGGCCTTGTCGGGGCTGCTTATGTTCTGCCTCGTGGTCTCGCCTCCGGTTGGTGGTCGGGTGGCTTCGTGGTAGGTGTCCCACCTGCGTGCTTTCTTGGCGGCAGTATGGGGTATTTTGGCGGTCCTTCCTTTTCCTGTCCCTTCTTCGGTGGGTCCTTCTTGTTGGCTTGGTTTACTCTCGGCTTGGTTTTCTAGTGGGGGTTGGGGGCCGTCGTCTTGCCACATACTGTCGCCTCTTTTCGTGCGGCGCAGGCGGAGCCGCTTCAGCTTGCTTTCGGTCTTGGTGTTGCTTCTGCACCGTTAGTCAGCTGTCTTGTGCGTCATTTCACCTCCGGCCTGTTCGTGCGCCGCTTGCACCATCCTGGTCTCTGGTCAGCGTGCTCTGTCTTCTCCTCGGTTGGTAGTGCCCCTTCGGTTCCGGTGTGTTTTTTCGTCGGCTCTTTCCTTTGGGCCTTTGCCTCTGGGGGTCGGTTCGCTGTGTTTTCTTGCTCCTTCGGTTTTAGCGTTTTGGTTGTTTGATGGCAGCAGTCTCCATCTTTTCTGGCGCGGGGTGGGGCTGCTGCCTTCTGGAGGGGTCCAGGGTTTGTTGGTGCTTTGTTGGTTGGGCCGGGGGTGTGTCGTTTTTGTGTTCAGTGGCGGCCCTCTGCTGTTGTTTGCGTGCCACGGCGTTTGGGTCCGGAGCGCGTTTTGCGTTGCTCCGGTTCTGTTCTTCCCGGTTCGCGGGTGATGGTGTCCCGGGTGGTCAGCCGTGTTCTTGCGGCTAAGCTGCCTGTGTTCTTCCCTCATGCCTGTGGCGTTCGTGGCTTCGCTGCTCTCGCTGCCGTCTGGGCGACGTGGCCTTGCAGTCTTTCGGGCATGGATTTTTGGTGTTCGTGCAGGGGCCTTGCTGCTCGTGGTTCTCGTGTTGTTCCCGGGATTTTCGGGGCTGTGGCGCCTTGGGTTGGCGTTTGCTGCCGGTTGTCTCGCCTCCTTGGGGGGTGCGTGGTGTCCGCCTCCCGGTTTTGTCCCTTTGACCTTCCTCTGTGGGTAGTTAGCTCCGGGGAGCCGACGGGGCTCCCCCCAGAAAACCAGCGTTGAATGTAATGAAACGCCATTTTCTGGGTGAGACCCGGAGGCTCCCCGGCAACCCTCCCTCCCTCCGGTCGGCGTTTTTCGCGTGTTTTGACATCCAGCCTCAGAACTGATGGGTGGATAGCCGGCGTGGGAGGTCTGGGGCTCCCCCTTCCCCCTCCCGGGGAGGGGGGAGCTGCGCAGACAGCGGCGCGGTGACGTATGACGTCATACTAGTTTCCGTGTTTTCTGTTGAAGAGTTCTATTCACTAGTTCGGCTTAGGTAGCAATTTTCACCAGAATAGGGGTTTGTTTTGGAATGCTTACCTTTCTGGATGCTTGACCCGGTCGATGGCAGACATAGAATGCTTCCAACCACACGGGGGTTTCTATAGGCCATTGCTCCCCTTGCCTCTCTGAGGGGGCCAGGTTCTGGCTCGTGGTCCCCGGTAGGCCCTAGAACTCCATACACATGACTGATGCCAAAGTCTGACATTAGCATATCAGCCGGTAAAGCTCCGGGGAGCCTCCGGGTCTCACCCAGAAAATGGCGTTTCATTACATTCAACGCTGGTTTTTTTCCCACGGACCTAGAATGTACTGCGCCTGGCCATGTGACCGCATTGTTTACTGTGAACTTGTGCGGCTGAGAGCAATGTCTCAGAATATTAGCCAGAGAAAATCGGATTCAGACAAAAATAGATAAATTCATGATTTCAATGGTTCGTGAAAGCACCCACTGGGAATTCAACAAGTCATGCAGCATCCGCTGGTAACGAATGCCCTACAAGCCATGCTGCACCCTCTGGTAACGAATGCCCTACAAGCCATGCTGCACCCGCCGATGCTGAATTCCCATCAACAAGTTGTGCAGCCTCCGCCGGCAACGAATGCTCTGCAAGCTATGCTGCACCCGCCGATGCTGAATTCCCATCAACAAGTCGTGCAGTCTCCGCTGGCAACGAATGCTCTGCAAGCTATGCTGCACCCGCCGATGCTGAATTCCCATCAACAAGTCGTGCAGTCTCCGCCGGCAACGAATGCTCTACAAGCCATGCTGCACCCGCCGATGCTGAATTCCCATCAACAAGTCGTGCAGTCTCCGCCGGCAACGAATGCTCTGCAAGCTATGCTGCACCCGCCGATGCTGAATTCCCATCAACAAGTCGTGCAGTCTCCGCCGGCAACGAATGCTCTGTAAGATATGCTGCACCCGCCGATGCTGAATTCTCATTGACAAGTCATGGAGCATCCGCCAGCAACGAATGCTCTGCAAGCCAAGTTGCACCCGCTGATGCTGAATTCCCATCAAAAGTCGTGTAGCCTCCACTAACGATATAAAATATGATTGAAAGGCATATAAATTAGTGTAAAAAGTGTTTATAGAGTACAGTATTGTAAGTGTTAATGATTATTTAAGCCTTGACAAAAAGATACTGTACAGTGTAAATATACAGTAGAAATAATTTTCAATTGTGAATTAAAATTACAACTCATGTGAATTAGTAGTAAGGCTAGCTGTTGTTGTTGTTGATATAGATTCAGCTACTCGGAACTAGTTCCAAGTAGCACGGGCTATGGTGAGCCCGTAACTTACCTGGTACAGGAGCGGGGCAAGTAGCCTGAGCTATGGTGAGCCCGTAGTGGACTTACCTGGCACAGGAGCGGTGCTCGAAGGCTAGCTGTTGTGTGAAGTGAATGCCTGAAAATAAGTGTACATACTGCATGTACCTTGTATACAGTACTGTACTGAACAATATAAAACAAGCGCTGCAGATGATGACGTAATCTTCTGCTTTATTAAAAGTAAGTAAATTTACCAATTTTATTATAGTATATCAACATATTATTTTTTTTTTTTCAACAAAAGCTACATATCTATCTCTGCAAATGTATATTCTATCATTAGCAGAGAAAAGGCGAGCTCAAAATATTTCGTCTTAGCTAGATCTCAGTGACAAGGCTTGATCGTCATTGTATGGCCTAGCCGCCACAGCCTGTGTCATAACATTAAAAATACATTACCTGCACTGTTCAGGGTAAAACAAAACACATCTCTAAAATTTTATTGAGATTTTATTGAAAATATTAACAATCACTGATTGATACATGAAATATTTTGCAATACAATGGAATGAACCAATTTTTTCCCACCCATCTGAACTTGATCAGACCGTGTTCACACATCATCCATGCAGCAGCCACCAGCTGGCTTAATCATCGGCGTGGCACTAAATTGGAACGCAATTACACAATGAACTTTATTTAATTTTAGTTATATAGTATATAATATATCCTACCTGAATGTTACTTGAAAAATTACCAGACCTGACTTAACTTCGGAAATAACGGAGCTCCGGAAATAACGACCAGGGTACAGCCCCATATAGGCCGTTAAATTGAGTGGATACTATATAATTATATATATAATTATATATATATATAATGACAGTGTCAGACCACGGAGGAAGAATTGAATAGTGATTTGTAATATATAATATAATGAACATCACTGGTGCAAAAACTGTACCCTGTGGTACTCCACTATTGACTTCTCCAGTCTGATACATTGCCTCTGATTACCACCCTCATTGTTCCACATATGGTATTTTGTCAGTGACATACTAGTGGGGTCTTGTCGTCTCTGGGCACTGTTATTGTTCAGGTTGTTCAATTGGTATTTTGAAATGCTTATTGTTGCTTCAGGGTTGTATATATTTAAGGTTTCATGCTAAACAACAGGATCTTTTAATATATGTGGATATATTACAAAACATTGATAATTAATGAATTAAGAATATGTATAATTTTATAAAATAGTCATATCTACTTCAAGGTGTGGTGATTTTCAACTTTACAATGTCCTCATTGTCCTCATTTAAACACTGTACTGAGTTATTATGTCACGCAAATCATTGTTACCCTCACAGTCTTGTTCATCTTTCATAAAATGCTTCTTATCATTCCTTCCTCACTTCTCATTGAGAACTTTGAATCTCTCAGACATGTATGGAAGTCAGTCAGAATCTGATTTAGTTCAGATTTCTTTTCTTTCATATATTTCAAGTACTGTTGAATGCAAATGCTTTAGAAGTTAAGTGTTATTTTAATTAAAAAATATATGGAGATAAGTGATACAAAGTTTTTTCAGAAAATTATTAAAATTGTTTTATCTTTTTTTTTTATCAAGAACTGGATAATTTAGTGAAATACAGTTATATACGTTTTTCAGAGTATCACACTTCCTATAATGGTTATTCCACACATGCGCATTTCCACGTGTGTGTGTGTGCATGTACATGTACTGTACACATGTGCACATGCAAATGCACACATGCACATACATTTGTGATTGCATGCACAATTCAAATTTGTTATTAGTAATGGAGTATATTTATAAAATGTTGTTATAAAAGACAGGACATGTTTTTTAGGTGGTGGCAATGTGACAGTTTCACGTGTTCAAGAGGTCGATATATCTGGGCTGACGGTGCACCCAGCATGTGTAGTGTCTGTATTGCTTACCAGTCTACGCACTGAGTCTTGGCGTGTCCACAGTAACCAACAAACACCTCTGCCTGCTCAGAGTATCATCATCAATATATCTGGCAAAGTTCTAATGATTCAGAGAGATCATCGCTCTGATGGAGGAAATACAAATGGAAAACTGGTAAGTTAATTATGTTTTTGATTAATTAAACTTTTCTGGGGGGGGGGCGAATGGTGGCTGAGGTGGCCACCATCCAGCTAGCATGCTGAGGTAGCTGGCCCCCCTTCCCCTCCTATTGAGCTACATCAGTCTTAGAAGGTATGATCTATCAGGAACTAGAGCAAGAACCTGGCCCCATCAAAGAAATCAAAGAAAAACAAAAACAAAACCTTCCAGAAATCCGGACCAAAGGGGCCACTGAAAACTGAGCACAAAAAAAAATATGAACCCAGTCCAAGGACCAGGCAGTCTGAGGTGATGAGCAGGCTGGAGGTGAAACAAAGCGCAACGTAGCTTGTAGGACAGGGTTGTAGAAACATCAGCCATGTACTCAAACAAAAGCAATTCTGACAATGCGAACGATGAGAAACGACAGTACAGTATATGGCATTAGATGCCAATCGAGGAAAAGCCAAGAATGAAAGGACAAAACAACCTGATCAGAAACGCACAGAAATTGAGAAAGGAAAAAATAATGGTAGAAAAGACCGCCAAAAAACCTCATACTGTGAGGAGGATCGCAGGTGGGATACCACCAAACCAGCCACCTGTTCACCATACAAATGTGGTAAAGACTTGTAAAAAAGGCCAAACGTGTAATGCGGAAGATAAGGCTGAGTCAGCGAGTTACATTACTAGCCCAGCCATCTGATAAAGACAGTGAACCATGAGAGAACAGCCTCATTGGATTCGGATCACCGAGTTTGGAGGAATTCGAACTCTCTGCAGTACCTGCCACACAGCTGTAAACTACTATGCCATGCTGTGAGCCCAATGAAGGTGCGGGCGCCAACGACCTTAACCAGACTGGTGAGCATTGGTCATGAAGTCCCCAACTGACAGCCGATGCATCCATGAAGACATTCAAGCGAAGGAGGATGCATGGCATTGAACCCTAAAAAACCCAGAGAGGAAGCTGGTGATGTGTTAGTATTCCACACAACTGAGCTTCTTTCAATGTTTGATATGTACTTTCACATGTAACCCATTGTTGAATGCCACCAAGGTCCTTTTCAATATCATTGTAACTATCTAGCTAGCCAGAGCTTGTAGACAAGGGACATCAACTTGGTAGTGTGTGCGAGCGGTGTTAGTACTCAAATTGTACGACGGTTATCTTCTTGATCTTGAGGTTATCTTGAGATGATTTCGGGGCTTTAGTGTCCCCGCGGCCCGGTCCTCGACCAGGCCTCCACCCCCAGGAAGCAGCCCGTGACAGCTGACTAGCACCCAGGTACCTATTTTACTGCTAGGTAACAGGGACATAGGGTGAAAGAAACTCTGCCCATTGTTTCTCGCCGGCGCCCAGGATCGAACCCGGGACCACAGGATCACAAGTCCAGCGTGCTGTCCCCAGACACGGGTAATTACACATCATCTCAAAAACTGGACAAAACTCACTGCAGCTGCGGACAAAATCTGATCAACACAGTCCTCAGAAAAAGCAAAAGCAGAGGACAAGAGATAGAAGCTGAAAGAAGAAGCAGGGCCAATGCCAACTCCAAGGAAGAAGCCAGCATAGCTTACTGACACACTAAAAACAGGGTGAAAAAATAAAGAAACTTCCTCCAGAGGATTGGGGCATACAGCTTAAGCAAGGCAGATGAAGCTGAAGCAGCCGAAACCAAAACTCCAGCACGAGGCACCTCATCGAATGACCCCACATCCTCCACAAGCCAATCAGAAGACAGCTCGTGCAGGCACAAGAACCGCACAACAGAAGCCAAGTGCGTACAAGTCAGAGAATGGTCAGCAACCACGGCAGCCGAAAGAAAAGGAACTTTAACATGCAGCTGCACAAAACCCAGAACACGGTGAAGGGCAGGAGTGAAAAGGCACGAATTGAGGGACACGAGAGCCCCTCAGAAAAACCTGCAACACAGGAGACACCTCCCACCAATCCAGCGCACAGGTATGGCAAAAGCCACACCAGGCCCCCAGCGAAAACAAAGGACAGTCCACTAGCCAGAAAAAACTCCAGAACCTTGTAACACACGCAATGCAGGGAAGAAGACCCGAACTCAAATAAGGCCGAGTCCATAATCTAGACATAAACCGGGTCACACAGGAGATAATCACCAAGTGCCTCCCGAGGCTCTGCCGGGATAACACGGGAGGAAAGAAACCTCTGGACAGACGAACCCGAAGCGTTAAAAGGCACCCGGAAATGAACCCTGGACAAAACCCCAGGGTTTTGGAGTTTTGCCCACCTAACTCATACATGGAAGGGGGATAAGAAACCCTCTTCCTCCAACAGAAGACCCTGTGGAGAAGGCACTAGGGCCCATGAAGGGTCAAGGGAGCCCAAGAGCTCCAATCGGACTTCCACCAAGCTCCTGGTAAGGGTCCTGGGGAAGAGCACTCACGCACGCCTACCACCTGGGAAGAAAAGATGGAGCCCAAGGGAAAAGCTTCAAAAGAGGGAGTTAGCTGGGAAGTCTTGGCAGCTCCAGCGGGAAAGAGCAGCTCAACTGCCTCCACATCCGAATGGGAAGAGGCAGGCCCTGGATCAGCCCAAACCACATCTCGAGCTAAACCCTGCCCCGAGTCCGAATCTCAAAAGACATTTTGGATCAAGATGCAGGGTTGGGGGCAAGGAGAGGGTGAACCAAATGCATTGAGGAGGAAAGAAGGGGTGTGGATGGTCGCATCGCCCACCACCCCCAACGGCAAGTCCCTAAAACATAAACAGGGCAGATCCATGGCAACCAAATGGGCACACAACCTGGAACATTGCAACACTGAAAACCGACGATGCAGAGCACATGCTGCTTGATACCTCTGGACTTCCATAGAATGGGTGAGAATAAGCATATGAGGATAACAAGTCTCACATGACTCTGGGTTGTAGGTGTCACCGAACTAACAAGCAGCATGGCGGAGACAAAGTCTGAATGTCACTGAGAGGCACTGGTGACGAACAACCCTCAAATTCGCACAAAACGAGAGCGGGTTCAGAAGAGATATCCATAGTACAACCCAGCTCGCGCAGGTTTTCCGGGGCCTACAGGGTGAATGAGCCTTGCAGGAAGACCAGGCACTGGGGTCTACAATGGTTTGTGGACCATTGCTCCCTACACCTCTCCGAGGGGACTAAGTTCTGGCACGTCGTCTCTGGTAGGCAAAACGAACTCCGCAACTGATGACTCCAAGTAGTATTGCGCTGATCAGTGTATGATCAGGACTGCCCAGCCAGGCAGTCCAGAAACTGGCATTTCATATATGCTGGTTTTCAGAGTGATTTCTGATCCACTGCTCCTTGTGGCAATATGAAGAGACCATGTTTTCACTTATGGTCTCTGGTAGGCTTTTAAGATTTGCAAGGACCTGGTGTGATGCGAATTGTGTAGAGCTATCCAAGATGTAGCAACAATAAGCCACCAAAGGGCTCTCACCAAAAGAGGCGTTTTCAATACATTCAAGGCTGTTTTATTTTTTCCAACAGTTCAGAATTGGGTTTAACCAATGGTTCTCTTACAGGATAGTTGTGCTTTAAAATGACACATGACTAAAATATGAATGTTTAATTTTCAATTTAGATCATTTTTATAGTAATAGATTTGTTATTTGGCTCTGTATTCAGTTCCAGTGTGCTCAGATGACACCAATTGTCTTGGCTTCAAGCTGTGAGGCTTTATGGTGTAGCAGTTCTGCAGTTAGCCATAAACCGCACCTGAGCCATGCTCTCTGGTTACACTGTGGTGTTCATGGCACCCGTGCTTGGTTACCACTGTTTCCAAATTCTGCTGACAAATCTCACACGTTCATGGCCAGAAGAATTATGTTGCCCTTCACTCCGTCCATTTACCCTTTAGGTGAGTAAAGTTTATTTATATATGCTGGGTAATTACCTAAGTGTTGTTATAGGATGAGAGCTATGCTCGTGGTGTCCCATTTTCCAATTACTCTTTGTCGTATAATGCTTTGAAACTACTGACGGTTTTGGCCTCCTCCACCTTCTCATTTAGTTTGTTCCAACCTTCTATCACTCTGTTTGCTAAAGAAAACTTTTTAATATTTGTTGGCACCTTTCTTTCCTTCCTTTGCTTGAATCTGTGACCTCTTTATGTGTGAAGTACTGTAGCTTGTTTCAGAAATTCATCTTTGTCAGTTTGGTCAATTCCTGTTATTATTTTGTAAGTTGTGATCATATCACCTCTTTTTCTTCTATCTTTTTGTTTTGGCATTTTTAATGCTTCTAGTCTCTCCTCGTAACTCTTGTTTCTTGGTTTCGGAAGCCATTTTGTAACATGCCGTCGCACCTTTTCCAATTTCCATATGTGCTTCTTGAGATTTGGTCACCATGCAACAACTTGTGTGTGTTGTGTTTGTATTTATGTATGTGTGTTTACTCACCTATTTGTACTCGCCTATTTGTGCCTGCAGGATCGAGCATTGACTCTTGGATCCCGCCATTCTAGCTGCCGGTTGTGTATAGCAGTGACTCGTGTTGTAATTTCCCAGTCATATCTATTAAAATTATGAATAGAGTTTGCTTTCACAACCTACTCCTTAACCCTTAGATCAGACAATACATACATATATGATTTGACATAAATAATTTAACATTAGTTTTTAAAACTTGCACAAACGCTTTCCAATTTTTTTTGTTTTTTTTTGCATAATCAACTAGGCAAATGCTCCAACTTTGTCTAAATGATCACAGCATAATTTAAAAAACAAGAGAATCAAAATTAATTTTAAAATTGAATATTGGAAACTTCAGATTTTCAATTCATAATAAAAAAATGAACTATCATCAATTTTTCATTTAATGTTGTTATTCTCTCAGAAAAGCATATGATCTTCATTTTCATCAAATTAGAGTATAGGTTTTCAGCATAAATTACTGTAAAAAAATCGTCAATAGGGTACTTGAAATATGCGGCAAATTTAGACCCCCAAAAATTATAACGCAAAATGTATAAAGTTTATGAAAAATCCATTCTGAGGGGATTGTAGAACAGACAGCTGAGCACACAATATGTCAAAATAGTGAGAATCAGTCAAAAACTGGAATTTTAGAAGCCACTCAAAGTTGGAACTCTGGTGTCGGAGATAATTGAAGTTATCAACAATGAATAATGGTAGTTTTAATTCGTTAATTTAATTGTATGCTTTAATAAACATTGTTTGGCATTCGTGCTCGAATATGTGAAAGTTGTAGGTCAATGTGTGTTGAAATGAAGTCAAGAAAAAATAACCCCCAAAACACAAAATGTAGGGATAATTATAATAATTATAATGATTTAGGGGATATATTTAGGGTATACTTTATAAGAAGTGAAAAATCCCTAATATGGATCCCAAATCATCTTTATTTTCCTGTTCGCCCCTTGTTCGTTGACATTTCTCTCCGCCCGCTGTTACTGTTGCATTGGCTACGTTGTGATTGCCACGCCAACAATAATATTTGCAATAAAACAGGCTATTTGCAGTAAGAGCAATAAAGGATTTAATGGCACCAAGAACTAGACTAACAACAATTTTGTATATACAAACATTAGTTTTTTTACTAATTTTACTTTTACCCCACACCTTTACACCTGATTGTGCAGGTGTGGGGCGCTGATTGTACAGGTGTGGGGCGCTGATTGTACAGGTGTGGGGCGCTGATTGTACAGGTATGGGTCGCTGATTATAAAGGTATGGGGCGCTGATTGTGCAGGTGTGGGGCGCTGATTGTACAGGTGTTGGGCGCTGAATGTACAGTTTTGGGAGCAAATAGCCTGTTTTATTGCAAATATTATTGTTGGCGTGGCAATCACAACGTAGCCAATGCAACAGTAACAGCGGGCGGAGAGAAATGTCAACGAACAAGGGGCGAACAGAAAAATAACAACCTAAAGAAACAAAGAAAATAAAGTTTGAAATCAGAAAAAATCAGCCCCCAAAAAATAAAAGTTCCAAGTTTTGCGAGTTGTGACTGATTTATTTGTTGACCAATTTCATTCTATCTTCACATAGTTAAGGAAACATATGCACTCTCCAGGGTGTTAAGGTTACAACAAAATCAGATAATAAACAAAGGAGAAAAAAAACTAAAATCTTAAGAAAAAAAATAATTGCAATTTTTTTTTTTTTTTTTGGGGGGGGGGGGACATTGATGAAAGTAACATATACAGTATTAACATTGGACAATGTATTTATATGATATATAACAAAATAGAGCATATTAACATAGTTATTCATTATTATTTGTGTTATTATGTATTACTCAGCAATGATATAAAGGCACCAACTCCATATCCACTTTGTAGACACTTCCTACTACTATTCTTTTTCTTTGAACGTCGGACAGGTGCTTGCATCTATTTATTTTTGCATTATCCTTCAGTTCCAGTTATTAGAAGCTGTTCTTATCAACATAACGTTCTTATTTTTTTAAAATTTGTCAATACTCTAACGCTAAAAGAAAACTTTCTAACATCTCAGTGACTCATCTAAGTTTCTAGCTTCCACCCCTTATCCCCCCTTGTTTTGTTAGTATTCAGTGTGAACATTTTGCCTCTTTCCACTGTCAATCCTCTAAGTAGTTTGTTTCTATTATGTCCCCCTCTCTCTCCCTCCTTTCTTCTAGTGTCGTCAAATTTAGTTCCTTCAGTTGCTCTTCATACCCCATCCCTCTTAACTCTTGAACGAGCCTCGTTGCAAACTAATGAAGCTTTTTCCAGTCTCCTTATGTGTTTCTTCAGGTGGGGATTTCATGATGGGGTGGCATACTCTAAGACTGGTCTCACATAGGCAGCATAAAGCCCCCTAAATTCCCCCTTACTTTGGTTTCTGAATGATGTTCTATTTTTTGCCATCGTAGAGTACACTGCTGTCATTATTCTATTAATATGTGCCTCAGGAGTTAGATTAGATGTTATGTCCACTCCCAGGTCTCTTTCTCGAATCGTCACAGGTAGGTAGTTTCTCTTCATTGTGTACTGTCCCTTTGGTCTACTGTCACTTAATTCCATTTCCATAACCTTACATTTGCTCATGTTTAACTCCAGTAGTCATTTCTCTGACCATCTCTGCAACCAGTTCAAGTCCTCTAGGAAGATCCTACCTCATCTGTCACAACTCATCTTATTTTGACTTATCCATGAACATCTACATAAAGGACTTTACTCCTGTATACATGTCATTTACGTATATTAGAAATAGAAATGGTCTCAGCATCGATCCTTGAGGTACTCCACTCGTTACTGTTTGCCAGTCGAACTTCTTGCCCCATACCATTACTCTCTGGCTCCTTCCTGTTAGGTAGTTTCTTACCCATGCTAGGGTTTTTCCGCTTACTCCTGCCTGCCTCTAAAGTTTGAAGAGCAGTCTCCTTGTGTGGTACTGTATCAAAGGTTTTTTAGCAGTCCAGAAATATGCAGTTTGTCCATCCTTCCTTGTCCTGCCTTATTTTTCTTACTTTATCATATAATTCCAAAAGGTTAATTACGCATGATTTTCCTTCCCTGAACCCATGTTGGTGTTTGTTTACAAACCTAATGGGTGTGTAACCAGTCTTAACACTTTCGCGCGCCCTGGGAAGGTAAAAAAAAAGCGGTATGTGCGTGCGGCGTTTTTGCCGCGTAAGCGTAAAAACAAAAATGTGTATACTCTTTTTACTCTCCTGACCTTAGTTCTCGAGCTACGTATTTCATTTTGGTACCAACGTGTTCGCAATAAAATTCTCTAGAAGAACATCAGTAAAAAAAGTCACGAAACGTATAGGGATACCAGCACCAAATAAATAACTACGAAGATGACTCGCAGTGAGCGCCCAACAGCAACAAAATGTTTTTACTCTTGGGATTGTTATCACCTCCACACTTGTCCTACAGCGTTAATTTTGGTATCAATGGACTCGCAATGAAATTCCCAACACGGTGATATGAATATAAATGTAGAATAATGATTGCGGCCCGCCCGCAAGAGTGTGGGAAGTGGTGAAATTGTTACCCGCTATCGGTGACCGGACGACACATGTGCAATACGGCGCTTTGAAAGCTTATACTTATTTCACTCTCCTGACATTATTATTCTATGTACGTCATTCATTTTTGTGTCAATGTGTTCGCAATAGAATGTTCTATGAGCCCGTAGGTAAAAAAGATCAACAAAGCGTAAGATAGAATAGCGCCAAATATAAAACAACGCTGGAACATATCAGTGAGCGTCAAACACACACGAAATGTTTTTACTTTTGTTATGTTTGTCAAGTTTATACTTGTTGCACACAGTTATTTTTGGTTGTACATTGATCGGAATAAAATTCCCTAAACAGACATATGCATATAATACATGATATGGGGGAAGCATTACCAGTATAAACGGCTAAAGTCACCCACCTGCAACCCGTTTGGGACACTCATGCAGACACGCTACACCCAAAAAAAAATCTATGAAGGTTCGAGTCTACTTATGGCAGTTTGTGATACAGTGTTCATTCTGGTATCAAAATACAAAATACATTACCAGTATAAACGGCTAAAGTCACCCATCTGCAACCCGTTTGGGACACTCATGCAGACACACGCTACACCCAAAAAAAAATCTATGAAGGTTCGAGTCTACTTATGGCAGTTTATGTGATACAGTGTTCATTCTGGTATCAAAATACTCGTTTCAGTTTGTAGTTCATGCGATTTTCAGAATCAACTGAATCGCTGGAGGTTCAACATTTGAGTCAGAGTCATCTGACAAAACCGTCTCGTCAAATGGCAGTGTGCCAGACATCTCGAGTTCTGATTCGGTTGCTGCTTCAGCTTGAGGTGTTGAAGTGAACAAGGGCCGCCTCACACCAGATGGTCCAGGAGTTTGCATGGCGTCA